ACGACAAAGAAAGCCATCGTTACCGGCTTCGTTTTTCCCCGAAAAGTCTAAATCTTTTCTGATTTTTGATTGAATTCCCATCTCTGTTTCTTCAAACCATTCGTATTTTTTCACCACTCCATAACTGAGCTTGGAGTTCGCAGGATTGCATTAGTCCAAACTGTTATTCAGGTTAATGAATTTGAATCCTGAGACTTGTGCTGTTTTCTCTATTTATATAGTTGATTGCTTCTGATACTTTTGATTTCTTTTTGAAGTAATTGATGATTGAGATGGGAAATTTGAAGGAGGCTTTGAATTTTATCTGCTCATTTGATTTCTGGAGGATGGCTTTGTTTTGGAACATTGCCCTTCTTTTTTCTTACTTTCAATTGCTTAAAAGAAGAATCTTTGGCTCGAAATCAAGTTCCTCTTCTTCATCTAATCATTCATGGAATAGTTCACATAGACCTATCTGTGTTATCACTGGTGTAAGTCATTCTTCTTTCTCCTAGGAATCATTGCCTTAGACTGTGTAATGTAAAGTAATTACTTTTTTCGTTTGGTTTATATTGTGTGTTGTTGAATTCATTGCAGGCTACTTCAGGACTTGGTAAGGCCACTGCGTTTGCTCTTTCAAGGAAGGGTTTCTACGTTGTTCTTGGTAAGGAAACGTGTTGCTTTTTTCTTTAGCAGCTAGATTGTTTCTCTTATGCACAAGTATGTGCGTGTTTGAAGATATATAGAGAAGTGTTCATTAGCATCTCTTATAGAATAGATGTTGATATGAGCCAAATGCATCAGGAGAAGATAACTTGTTGGAAAATGTCTTCTTCGTTGGCTGAATCTTTCTTGATTTTGCAGTTGGACGGTCCTCTCACTTGTTATCAAAGGTTTTTTTTTATACGGTCCTTTTGATTTACTTTCTACCGGTAGAAGAACTTCCTACTTCACATTTTTCTTGATGCAAGAATCTTTGTGGTTGTCACTTTCTGTTGACAGACCTTGAAGGAAATTAAGAAGCAGAATGAGGATGCCCAACTCAAAGCTTTTGAAGTTGACATGTCGTCTTTTCAATCAGTTTTGAAGTTTCGAAACTCGCTAGAACAATGGCTTTTAGAATCAGGTTTACATTCTTCTATCCAACTGTTGATGAACAATGCTGGAATACTAGCAACATCGAGTCGGCCAACCGTTGAAGGCTTTGACCGGTAAGGTTTATACTATGTTTTTATAATTTTGAACTCTATAGGTTACACTTTCTGACTCTGTCTTTTTCAGGATGATTGCTACAAATTATATTGGTGCATTCTCTTTGACCAAACTTCTGTTACCGTTCTTGAAAAACAGCCCTGTGCCTTCACGGGTCGTGAATGTTACATCGTTTACACATCGTTCTGGTGAATATTTTCTCACAATTGGTCGAATGGTTTTTGTTTATCCTACAATGAGAGTAAAGATAGCTGATGTCTTCTCCTATTTTGTTCTTGTCTGTAGCTTTTGCTGCGAGATTTGACAAGGATTCTGTCACTGGAATGTACTCTTCGGGATCAAAGCAATATCCTTGTGCTAGGATCTATGAGTATTCTAAATGTAAGCCAATCCCTGTATAGTGACAAGCATATTTGTCTTCCTTTATATCATGATGGTGATGCTGATACAGTTTCTGCTTCCTGTTGTGAAACAGTATGCCTTCTACTTTTCTCGTATGAGCTCCATAGACAACTTCGCCTTACGGATGATTCACATCACGTCTCTGTTGTGTAAGCACCTCCATTATTCATCTTTCGTTTAAATGATCTTCTTTCCAACCTTGTAAGACTTGGAATTATAACCGACTTTTGGA